CAGCGTTAAAAGGGGTGTTCGGCTGGCATTCCATTATTGTCTGGTTCAACGATGATCCGCTTATATCGAGCCTAGATAACCTTTCACGCGCTTATCAAAGAAGGTTCCAGGGTGGTCGGTTTACTGTAGCCCATTCGGGGACCCCGTTTTTTTAATGCCTGCCGAACTGCGGGCCTTGGAGAGCTTGTGATGGTGTCCATTTTTAACTCTTGCCACGATTCCCTATCGAGTCAAGCACAGTATCCCAAACATCATGTGTCAACAGTCGGAATCTTTGCGCACCATACGTCGAAGATCAGTCAGAACCAGGGCTGACGATTCAAGGGCAAATGCCCTTAATGCCCTGAACATTAAGGGCTGGGTTCGGTCTAGCTTCCGAATTTTACGGGTTAGCTTTGAGGGCAGCCCGTCCCCGTTAAGTGCTGGTCGTGGGCCTAACCTGGATTTTAAGTGAAGATCCCACAGTCCTTACTGTCCCATACTAGCACCTCCCTTCCTCCCATTCCTCCCCCACCTCCTCCCAGCCACTTTACCCACTTCCTTCCTTTTCCTATCCCCGTCAAATCCATCGACATGTTTCGTACTTCAGTCTATTGCCTAGGTAATGACGATAACGGATGCTAGATTGGGTGGTCTTTATGGAAAATAGTATACGCTAAGACCGCAAGCCAGCTACTTAACCTAGTTCTTGATGTGCTTAACATCGGGCTCCTCATGGTTTCTTCAGGCTAACATAAAAAAAGGACGTGACAAGCAACTTCTCCGAAGAATGTAGGTTTTTCCTTAGTGAAAGTGCAAAAATGCTGGTAGCCCTGATTTCAAGTGCTAGGATTGCTCTCAGCCCGTAAATTTCAGGGCAACTTTTGGGGCACCTCAGCCTCTCAAGTACTGTCTCCAAGCCAATCGGCAGCCCTGGTCGGAACTTCGTATGCACACCACCAAAGCACAAGCAACCCGAAATAGATGTGGATGGCCACGGGGAAGGGCGCGGCTCGGGCGCTCGACCTACCTAGACCCAGCTCCCCTTTTTCCCCCGAGCGAAAACAAAAAATCCCGACTCTAGATAGATAATTGGCGAGTGGTAACCAGCTCGCCAGCCTTTTCCCCAACGTAAACAGTTGACAGGGACGATGATTACCGCGTCGTTGGGTGTAAAAAAAGACGACCAAGCGTTAGATCGCAAGCGGCTAACGACAGCCATGCGATACATTGTAGTGTATGTTTTGATCGAAATTACTTCTGTATGTATGTTTGTTTATAGGTTTTTTTTTATGTAATGTTGTTTGCATGAAATAAGTGAATGATCAGGTCAATTTCAGGGAGGGGGGAGGGGGGGGTATGATTTGAATGGGTAATGGATGACTTGAAGTATCTATTCAAGGCAATGTCACTTGTTTCTTTTGCATATTTGATCATGTAAATGGCTAAAAGGTGGTCCTTGAAATGATCATTTGAGGGGGATTTGATGCACTTGTGGTTGAATTTTCCAGCATATTTTTGTACTTTCAGCTTCTCCTAGTACTCCCCTTCAAGTTTCTATCATTGTGGAAAGTTTGCCAATGTTTGTAATTTTGGTTGTTGGTTGGTGAATCAGTTATGTCTGTAGTACAACCAAAGTCATTCTCAACCAAACAAGAATACAAGTTGGTATATTTTTTGTTGTTGATTGTTAAGATTCAGAGCAATGTTAAGCTTGCAATGGCTTGTACATCACCTATCCCATGTCAAATCAGTAATGGAATGAGCAAAAAATATGAAAATAATCGCTGGTTTGCTTGGGGTTTTTAAGCAGTTTATAGCTGTGGTAAGGTAATTTGACTTCGTATTTTGCATCCCCTAATACTTATTAACATGGTATCCCAGTGCTTCCATGGGATTGTCCCTTTGGGTCTTATTCTAAATGGATGTTAAGGGTTGACAGCCAACAGCTACGTTTACATGGTTTCTATACATTTTATGTTGCTTGAGATAGAATGCTATGTACTTGGATTGATTCCCCTCATTGTCATTGGTTGTGTGTGATTTGGGGGAATGTAGGGCTTGTTTTGGGAGCCATGCATGCAATGTTGTTTGTTACCATGCTATGTTGTTTTAGATTTACACAATATTTTCCTAGGTGTATATTCTAGTGGCGCTATAAAAGGGGTTGTGATTTTCGAGTGGATTAGGGAAGTCGTGAAATTTGCCTAGATTGTTTTGTTTTTTTCTGGCGCATTCGAGGTACTGGCCACAGGCCACGGACGGAGTGGCTCAATTCCGAGTTTGGGGTTAGGGAAGTAACTGGTTGATTGACGCAGAGAATAATCCTCGAAATTTTTGTGGGGAGGATGTTGATTGGTCGCATTTTTTCCTTGTCAGAAATTCACAGACCAGAACAACACCGCATTTGCCCCCGTCCGTGTACCTTTTTAGAGCGCGGCACGCTATGATATTTATGGTGCAATTCTGGCACTGCCTTTGGTAAGTGCCAGCAAAAGTAGACTCACAACTCTTTGGTCACACGTATGAACACGCCCCGAAACTTGGGCTCATGTCAGAGGCGGGCGAGTATAAAGATACAAAGGAGGTTTTTTTCTCATTTTACATCTCCTTCAGATTTTTCCAACTTCTCTTCGTCAGATCTACTTAGCTTTCTTCCCTTAGTGCATAGAGCCTTCGATGGAAGTAGAGGCAGCTGGCTTGCATATACACCTCTCACGGTTAGAGTTCGAGAACATGCGACACAAGCATGGGGAATGGACCAACAACATGCTCAACTTCGTTATGGTGTAAGATGCCCTTGTAGGATTGATGCTCTACGAGTGAGGTCAATTTTCGAGATTTAAGGACTCTGACAAGAATACATGTTTTAGCGATCAACTCAAACGACCTATTGCAGACTCTCTGACAAGGGTACATGTTCTAGCGATAGCATTGAACTGGGCTCTCTGACAAGAGTACATGTTTTAGCGATCAACTCGGATGACCCATTAGAGACTCTCTGACAAGGTTACATGTTCTAGCGATCCAACCGAGCAGCCCGTTACAGACTCTCTGACAAGAGTACATGTTTTAACGATCGACTTGCACAACCCTTTACGGACTTTCTGATAAGGGTACATGTTCTAGCGATAGACTCTAACGACCCTTCACAGACTCTCTGACCATGGTACAAGTTTTAGCAAGCCTCTCAAACTACACTCTTGGCGCTCTAACATGGCTTTCCGAGATCGTTACTCCTGGCTTCTACCGCTCAGCGGCAGCGATCGCCTCTGAAAAAAAGATTTGGTTCTCTGACCTATGGAATAAATTTCGAGAATGTGATCCGCGAAAATGGATGTGTTCTGTAGCGATCGCCAATTCTTGTAATGCTCGTGATCGCCAATTCTTGTAATGCATGTGTGTTCACTTGCAGGAAGCTTGCAAAGGAGAGGCTGACCGCGGAGCAGCTTTCGAAGGTAGAAATCATCCCGATGAGTAAAGTCAACGAGGCCAGAGCGAAAAAACCTGTCGAACCATGGGTCCTGGCAGACTCGATGGTGTGCTTGGCAAGCAACTTGTCATCTTCCCGTTGTGGTCCAGGTGTGCTCGAACTTTGCTTGTTACGGTGTCAACAACTATTGCTCGGAGAATACATGGGTTTCCCGATTGTTCATGGGTTTCCCGATTGTTTCATCATCTTCTCGGTGGCTAACCTTTCGCCCCACCACCCCATGCAACATTACTGCCGAACGTGGTGCGCGCTGTAGCCTTTTTTTGCTTGTTCGGCCCGATAGCTTGGCCGATGACCCGAATGGTCCGGTTGCGACGCGTCTTCTGCATTTCGACCTCAAGTCGAATTATCTAGCGCACAAGCACGCCAAACTCGCCCTATTGTAAAGTAATTTTACCCTTTTGTCTCTCGTCATGTGAGCTTGTTGACGCCCTGGTAGAGTGGACACTAATTTTGTCTGAAACTGTTATGTTGAGCAGATGGCTGGAGGTGCAGCTCTTGATGAGGTATTCACGTGGAGAAGCTAGCCTAAACCCAGAGACCAAGGAAAAATTCCGCAGCATCAGGAGACGGATTACGAGCGAGTGGAAGCTCGACATCACGGGGGAAAGTGCTAACATGTATCCCATTTTGGAATCCTAAACCGGAGATGTGCTAACCCACTTTTTTCAATTTCATGCAGAAGCTAACTCCGATGGTTGGCTCGAAGGAGGTCGGGAGCGGTTCCCATGTAGCGTACCAATGGTGTAAATTGCTCGATCGGTTCGACTCGATTCTCTAACAGCCGAACCGAAACGAAAAGTTTATCCAACTTGGAAAACCACACTACCGGCGAGAGGAGATTTTTGAGGAGGTAGTGACCAACTGCGTTAAGTGTTTCAACAAATGTGCAGCTGGTGCTGATCAGGGTGCGGGAGGGGAGGACACCTTGGATTTACTTGGGGTCGCTGACGAGGACTCAGGTGCGGGTGGCCCGCCCGTGATTGACGCTGAAATAGTCACGTTGGGGGCCCTCATTGCTGATGGCGCACGAGTCGGATTGGCAAATCCGCGTCAGAGCGACACGGATGGGGAGCCATCCGTTCCAAGGGAGAATGCACGCGAAATCCTGCGTGGAATGAGGGAGACGTAGCAGAGGGCCGCACAAGAGAAAACCCAGCGTTGCGGAGCAGGGCCTCTACAGCAGAGGGCGGAGGGAGATAGGATGGAGGAGGAGCTTGCAATGGCTTTATAATCGGTGCACCTCGCGGTCGAGAATGATCAAGGGCAGGACCGGGGTGGCGGAAAGATCAATGCGAGTCAGAATATCATTGGCAAAAAAGAGGACGAGTGGCATACGACGGAACGGGAGAAGAGCAGGTTGGTGTATCAGTGGCGGGAGGCATGTACAAAGAAGAGGGATGACATTGGGCAGGAATCACGCGGCAATGCGGATGTGAATCAGAGGGAGGAACAGAAGCGTAAGAGGCTGGAGGAGGAGGAGCGCAAAAAGGAGTTGAAGCGGTAGAGGGAGGAGGAAGAGCGTAAAATGGAGGAGAAAAAGGCCGAGCTCGAAAAAGAGGAGAAGCGGCAGAGGGGGGAGGAAGAGCAAAAGAGGGAGGAGGAGAAGAAGGAGGAGCTCGAAAATAATGAGAAGCTACAGAGGGAGGTGGAAGAGCGAAAAAGGGAGGTGAAGAAAAAGGCCGAGCTCGAAAAAGAGGAGAAGCGGCAGAGGGAGGAGGAAGAGCGGAAGAGGGAGGAGAGGATGGAGGAGCGTGAAAAAAAGGAGAACCAGCAGAGGGAGGTGGAAGAGCGAAAAAGGGAGGAGAAAAAGGCCGAGCTCGAAAAAGAGGAGAGGCGGCAGAAAGAGGAGGAAGAGCGAAAGAGGGAGAAGGAGAGGAAAGAGGAGCACGAAAAAAGGGAGAAGCTGCATAGGGAGGTGGAAGAGCGAAAAAGGGAGGAGAAAAAGATCGAGCTCGAAAAAGAGAAGCAGCAGAGGGAGGAGGAAGAGCGACAGAGGGAGAAGGAGAGGATGGAGGAGCGTGAAAAAAAGGAGAACCAGCAAAGGGACGTGGAAGAGCGAAAAAGGGAGGAGGAGAAAAAGGCCGAGCTCGAAAAAGAGGAGAAGCGACAGAAAGAGGAGGAAGAGCGAAAGAGGGAGGAGGAGAGGAAAGAGGTGCGCGAAAATAGGGAGAAGCTGCAGAGGGAGGTGGAAGAGCAAAAAAGGGAGGAGAAAAAGACCGAGCTCGAAAAAGAGGAGAAGCGGCAGAGGGAGGAGGAAGAGCGACAGAGGGAGGAGAGGATGGAGGAGCGCAAAAAAAAGGAGAACCAGCAGAGGGACGTGGAAGAGCGAAAAAAGGGAGGAGGAGAAAAAGGCCAAGCTCGAAAAAGAGAAGCGGCAAAAAGAGGAGGATGAGCGAAAGAGGGAGGAGGAGAGGAAAGAGGAGCGCGAAAATAAGGAGAGGTTGCAGAGGGAGGAGACAGAGCGAACAAGGGAGGAGGAGAATAAGGCCCAGCGCGAAAAAGAGAAGCGGCAGAGGGAGGAGGAAGAGCGGAAGAGGGAGGAGGAGAGGAAGGATGAGCGCGAAAAAGGGAGAAGTTGCAGAGGGAGGAGGAACGGGAGAGGAAGAGGCTGGAGGTCGTGGATCGACTTGCGCGTGCAAAAAAAGCGAGGGAACATGAGGAGCGGGAGCGCAAAAGGCCGGAGGCCAGAGACCGGAAAACTAGCGAGGAGCTGAGGGAGGAGGAGCGAGAGCGAAAGAGGGTGGAGGCTGGTGAGCGTGAACCGCGTGAAAGGGAGGAGGCCCGGCAAATGCAGGAACGGGAACGGAAAAGAGCCGAAAGCGAACGCCGAAAGCATGAGCTTCTAAGACTAGAGCGCGAAAGGCAAGATGCAAGACCGATGGCAGAACTTGGGGAGCATCACGGTTTGGAGCTTCAGAGTGATCGACGGGAGGAAAATGATCAGCGTGTGAAAAGGGGCGCTGTGCAGAGGCACGAATGGCAGAGAGAGGTTGCTGGGTTGGGTGAACAAGGTGCTGGAGGGCAGAGACGTGGGGATGGAACTCGTCACATGAACGAGGCCTATAGGGGCGCGAGGGTCTTTCAAACGCAGTTGGGGCGAACTGTCGGGGAAGGAGCTCCACCGGGGCAGACAACCGATGGGCTGCAGGGGACAACAGTTTGTAGAGCAGCGAAATCGGGACCGAGATAGGGCATCCAGCAGAAAGGTGGCCGGCGTGATGATCAATCAGAACGTAACAGGGGTGGCGAGGGAGACCGTAGAAGGCTGGAGCAGTCAAGGCAAGCTGCTCGGCAAGAGGGTGAACCGCGCTTAATACTGCAGGGTGAGAGAGTTGCGGAGGAGCATGTCTGGCGTGGGGTGGGATGTGGAGTAGAGGATGTGCACCGAAGGGAGAATCTGCTGAGGCAGGCGGGTGGACGGGTGGAAGAGGAGCAGGAGAGTGCGGCTAGTGCGCTCCCTATTCAGAGGAGTCGTCCACGAGCAGCAAAAGACCAGATGCCACAAAGCTCAAAGGGCGGACTGGACCCATCAACGTTGGAAATCCACAAGCCGACAGACCGGATGCTACAATGCTCAAAGGGCGGACTTGACCCATCAACGTCGGAAATCCACAAGTCGCCAGACCGGATGCTACAATGCTCCAAGGGCGGACTGGACCCATCAGCGTCAGAAATCCACACTCCGCCAAACCAGATGCCACACCAAACCCTTCGCGACCCTAGGCCAAAGCAGACTCTCCGGACATCCCTATCGCCGCTGCACAACAAGTCATGGAAAGGTATGCCGCGACTCCCGAGGGCAAGGTGGGTGAGGCGGGTGGGGTGGGCGCTGGTGTGGCAGGTGTTTACTTGTCTGGGTCGGTGATAAGAGACTGGAGAGAGACCTTTGCGGAGAAGGAGTTGCAGAAAGAGAAGGAGAAGGAGTGGGCGGGGAAGAAGGCGGCCGAAACGCGGAAGCAGACTGCAGTTCAGAGGGAGCAAGCAAGGAAGGTGGGAAATACTATGATGGAGGCACAGCATTTGTCGGACCAGCGCGAGTCGAGTAAGAAGTGGCAGAGGGGTGAGGATGTGGGTAGAAGACTAGAGGAGAGGAGGGTGCAGCGCGAAAAGGACGAGAAGCAGCAGAGGGAGGAGGAACAGCGGAAGAGGGAGGAGGAGAAAAGGGTGAAGCGCAAAAAGGATGAGAAGCGGCAGAGGGAGGAGGAAAAGAAGAAGAGGGACGAGGAGCGGAAGTTGGAGCGCAAAAAGGAAGCGAAGCGCCAAAGGGAAGAGGAAGAGCGAAAGACAGAGGAGGAAAGGGAGCAGCGTGAAAAAGAGGAGAGGAGGCAGAGGGAAGAGGATCAGCGGAAGCGGGAGGAGGAAATGCGGGTGGAGCGCGAAAACGAGGAGAAGCGAAAGAGAGAGGAGCACGCGAAGGCTGTGGAGCAGAGGCGGGCACAGTTGGAGGCAGAGTTAGAAGCAAAGCGCATTGCAAAGCTCGTTGAATTGAAATGGTTGCAGGCCGAAAAGCGAAAAAAGGACCTCGAAATAGAGTGATAGAAAGCGCTGAAGGAGATGGAGCGTATTGCACGGTTGGAGGAAGCCGCAAAGGAGGAAGAGGAGAGGCAACAAAAAGAGTTAGAGGCAGAAACGGAGAAAATGGAAAAGGAAAGGCGTAGAATTGCAGTGGAGGATGTGGATGCGGCAGTGGAGCAAGGGCAGGGAGGAGAGGCGGAATGTGTGGGGTGGGCTGGGATTCTAAATGTGATTTCACCGGTTCCCGAAGAACCACTGCAATTAGTGGAGCTGGTGGAGCAGAATGATTCAGTACATCTGATAGGCCCTAGTGATTCAGAGACTCAACCGCCTTCGAAAAGGCCTCGCTTAGAGCACATAGGTACGAACGATGACGCAGCTGAGGGGTCTTTTGGAGCTGCTAAGTCAGAGAATGCAGTTGGTGAAAATGTGTCGGGAAATCAGAACGTTCAACTCACGTTGGGAGAGGCGACAGAAGAGGTGGCACATCGAAGGATCGACGTGCTACCAGACGAGCTAGGGAAGCAATGGGGGGAAATAAAGCATTTCAGATCGACTGGTCTTACTACACGCGAAAAGAAGAAAGATGACAAAGTGGTGTCTGTGCGCTACAACTCGGAGCAGATCGTCGGAGGTTTGAAGAGGATCATGGGGAGCTTCAAGGAGAGGAAACTGCGCGACTTCACTGTGGCCGTATGTTGGATGGCCTATTTCCCCGACACCAACATGGTCCATCACGACATGGATCCTGTCAAGGTTGGAGAGTGGGCGGTCCACCTCGAATTCGCTCATGAACTCCCGATAGGGGTCTGGAGTGTTATGAACGAATTGAACCTGGACAAATTTGAGAAGTGAGTGTCCGAATTGAATCAACATGAGTGCCTAACATGTTCTCGACTTTCATAACTAACCTCGTATCCACCCCTCCTGTGCAGCTTCGACAACGTGATGAAAAAGGCATACGCACGGGTGAAAGAAGGCGTGCATTTCCAGGTGGCTATTTGTACGGGGATTGGACATGCCCTGGTTCACGGAGGGGTTGGGCTGGTGTCGGCCTCCTTTAGTGTGAATTCCGCGGTCTATGCAGCGGGAGTGGCTGCTACCCTCTATACCCTATGCTGTGCCTCGATCGACATTCCCCACCAGGACTGGGCGGAGGGTGCGGATGAGGCGGCTCGTGGCACTCTTAACGAGGGTAGTCTTGCGTTTTGAGCAGCCTCAACTGCTTGGCTCGGAGTGTGGGCTTTAAAAGTTGTTAAGAACCAAACGCACGAAAAGACAGACTTGGAAGTGGTACTCAGCAAGGCTATTCTCAGCCTTGTGGATCCCGAGCCTGGGGAGACAGAGGCTATTGAAATGGCCAAGGTGGTTTCGAGGGTGTTGGTGTACTGGTGCGAGTACTCTCTCGCAAACTGCGGGCGGCCACGAGTGATGTAGGGGGGGATAGGGCAATTTCGAGTTTCCTACTGCTCTGTACTATTATATGTTCTGATTTTTTTTTATTTTTTATTTTTTAATTAACTGTTGCCGAACTTTTCTGTGCTTTTGATTTCTGAGAACTAGTTATATCGAGATTGCCGGCTTTCAAACTTAAAGTCAGAGGAACAATCAATGCTCTAGAGAACATGTCGCGCTCAACGGAACATTTCGCAATGCACTCGCAATTAGACCTCGCGCGTGTTCTAGTTTGAATTCGGTTCGTCGGTTCCTAGTTCACTTCGCCCGATGAGAAAATGGTCCCATATTCCACAACAAAAAGGGTCTCTTCGACCCACACTACGCAGAATGTTATTTGCACGGAAGAGAAACGTATCTGCGGCAAGATGTGACCCGCAAAGATCTACAACCCACACCACGCAACATGTTATTTGCACCCACCAGGCCTATGGGGGGAATTTATCAGTTCAACAAGAAAGACAAAATCTGTGTCAGAATCCCAGCCACTAACCACTGGGATAAAAGGGCTTGTTTGTGTAGCGGGTGAGTGCGCCCATAACCCCCCAGGCCAACGTGCCTGTAACCCTTCCCTAGGATCAATCGGGGATCACCAGTGGACCTCTGACACCCCCCCGCACTGGGATGCCCGAGGTGCACACACCGGGATTCGAACCCGAGACCTTCGCTCTGATACCATGTCAGAATCCCAGCCACTAACCACTGGGATAAAAGGGCTTGTTTGTGTAGCGGGTGAGTGCGCCCATAACCCCCCAGGCCAACGTGCCTGTAACCCTTCCCTAGGATCAATCGGGGATCACCAGTGGACCTCTGACAATCTGTAGTGCATCTACAGACGCGAAACATTGACTCCAACCACAAAGTTACGTCTCGTCATCAGAAATCTCCTCAATGTCGTCATCCTTCGCGGATGTTTTCTTCATGCGAGGACGCAAAGTCTCGCGTTTCCGGGCTTTGGAGCGATCCTCGCCACACTCCACGAACATCCCTTCTCCCTTCATCTTTGCGGCTGCCTCCAGATCGTAACACCATGTCCTCACGACGTCGACAATCTCGTAAACGAGGGGTCAGATACTCTTATTGCCCGCACCCGCGAAACTTTCCAGCACAAGCTTCTCAACGGCCGCTGCATCGTGGCTCTTTTTCACATGGACGCGAAAAATCTTCCGCGCGGCTACGATGACTGTGACGTTCAGATCGGGTGCTCCTGCCTTCTTTGCAGCCCGTTTCTCTTCCGTGTCGGCGACGGCGCGATCACGGCCCTTGGAAACCAGCCACATGTACATGATCACAAACGCCACGGCTCCGGCAACAGCACCCTCCGGAACCTTGGACTTCGCGTAACGTATGTCCAAAACCACCTCGAGCCCCAACGCAACCGAGGCCGCCACCTCGTCAATCAGGTTATCCGGTCCTTCTTTCTCGTTCCTAAAGCACGAAAACATGCTTTCAATCCTGCCACGAAAATTGAAGGCGAAAATTATGTTAAGCAACTCGGTCCCAATTCCGCTGCACTACGAACCGTTGTCCCCTGGAGCCCATCGGTTGTCTGCCCCGGTGGAGCTCCTTCCCCGGCAGTTCGCCCCAACTGCGTTTGAAAGACCCTCGCGCCCCTATAGGCCTCGTTCGTGTGACGAGTTCCATCCCCACGTCTCTGCCCTCCAGCACCTTGTTCACCCAACCCAGCAACCTCTCTCTGCCATTCGTGCCTCTGCACAACACCCCTTTTCAGACGCTGATTATTTTCCTCTCGTCGATCACTCTGACGCTCCAAACCGTGATGCTCCCCGAGTTCTGCCATCGGTCTTGCAACTTGCCTTTCACGTTTGCTCTTATGCCCACCCCACGATCCTTCTCTTTCGGGGCGGTCTTTGCAACCCCCTTCCCACCACTGAGTCTTGCAAGCAACGCCTGGGTTGCCTTCGTGGCTTCGACCTCGTCTGGATCCTCGACCTCCAGCACCTCCACACCACCCTCACCAGCCGCGAACTTCGATGACCCGTGCTGTACTTCGCCAACATCTTTTGAAGAGCCCACCACGTTTCTGACTGGTGGCTGACGGGTGATAGCTGGGGCGGAATTCGACTTTGCTTTTTTCGCAGGGTGTGGTTGCCTTTGCTGCAGTGATGACCGTTCTTCGCTTCGCGCCCCGTTCATTTGCTGCTGCCGCTTCCACGGATTCCTTACTGTATCGCCAGCCTTGACCCGAAACCAGCAATCCGACTTCTTCCCTTTCATCAGCGATTGCCATTCCTGTCTCCATCCCGGTTGCGGCTAGCAAAGAAAATCCGTGTTGCAAAACCAGCGACATGAGGGCAGAAGCCGCTTCGGCCAACTTCAACATCGCGCGCTCCGACGACTCGCGCTGAGCAGCCGCGGTGGAATGTTCCGTCCGCACTTCATGCACTGCATCCGCGAGATCCTTGGCAGCGCGTCTCTCCATATCTTCCAACCTGCGAAAATTCCCTGCACATTTCTCGACAAAACCTGACAACGCGGCATTCGGATCTTCCATCTTTGCCAAAAGTTCGCGGATTCTTTTTCGCTGAACCAAAAGATCGTGTCGCGTGTCAGCCATGTCTTGCTGCGAATTCTCGAGAGCATAGTCAAGGCGGACGACCTTGTGCGTGAGCGTGTGCACAGGCCACGTTAATAGCTCGTCTACCGACCGCCGTTGCACGTTCGCACGCTCAGATCGACCAAGTCGCCTCGTTGCCGCCAATCCGCGCTTGCCGGATCCGCGAAACTGCGGACCCCGATTTGCATCGCCAACAACGGCCCCAGATTTTGTGTTGCCTTTGTTCCCTTCGGCTTGTCCCCACGCACCACGATACGCTTCCTCGGCCTCGCCTCCACCCTCGCCTCCGCCCTCACCTTCGTCCTCCCCCTTGTTTTTGCCTTGCCACGCGCCCATTTCGTCCCCACCATCCTCACCCTCCCACTCGTTTTCGTAATCCTTGTTTTCGCCCTCATCCTCGCCATCGCCATCCGCCTCGCCCTCGCCCAAACCCACGCCCTTGCCAGCGCCATTCTTCTCCTCCTCGACATTGGCCTCACCCTCGCATTTGCCCACGCCATGTTGGGCGCCCTCTCCTTCGCCCTTGCCTGCGTCCGCGGCTCCCGCAACCCCGACTCGCCTAGGTGCGACCTCCGCTGGCCCGCCGTGGCCGCGTGGTTTGACAGCTTCGTGGTTGAGCATGTCAATGGCGATGTCCTGAACGTGCCTCAAAATCTTATCGTTCCTTTCGTACTGCAGCTGATTTGGCCCCGAAATAACGAGGATGCTGCAAACCGTGATGCTGTTTTCTTGGCTGCACAAGGCACGCACGTGTGGGGGAGTCAGCGGAGGAAACATCTAATGCAAAGAAATAAAGCGGATAATGCTTACGTAGCCCACCAAGGGAAAACCACGTGATCCATGTTCAGCAGGTTCGAGATTTCAGCGTTCGGGAGCATGTGCTGTCTCGTGCAGTCCGTAGCCAACTAGCTGCCCTGCTCCAACGATGTGACAATTCGTGTAGACTTCTCGCGGTCGCCGCCTTGTTTTGCCAGCACGAACCTGCATA